TCTTGAGATTTAATTGTAGTAGGCAAATTCCTGAAAGCAGGCTGTTTGACAGGAACATGACCTCGACCTTTGAATAGAATCAGGTTTAATTTATATAGAAAGTCATATTCTTAGAATAATAAAATAAAATATGATTTATATATTTAATACTTAATACATTTATAAGATTAAATAAAAAAAAAAAAAATTTCTTTCTCACACATGTGTTTACAGTTATGTGTTATAATCTCTACTACATGGAGAAAAAAATAAAATCACATTTATTTTATTTTGCAGTCATTCATTTTTTATTTAAAAAAAACGATTAATTTCTTTTTTTTTTGTTTAATTATTATAATTAATTATGATAATGACGTTTAATTGATAAAATAGGAAGAAGGAAAATAATAATAATACAGTATTATGGAATTGAAAAATTTCATATTTTGCAAGGAAGATTATTATTATTATTACTTTTTTTATATAAAATTGCCAATCGAATACAAAAAAAAAAATGCAAGTCATAGACATAAGCACACGCACACCCACCCCTGTTTTTGAAAAGTTCCATTTTTTTTTTTTTTTTGTCAAATTTATAATAATTAATTTTTTTTTGTCAAAAAAAAAAAAAAATACCCTTCCTATAAACTTCTTTGCCTTGCCATTAAATTTACATCTGTTTTTTTTTTTTTAAACAAATAATAATAATAATAAAAATTAATTAAGTTTTGTAACTTTTATGTTGGGTTTGGGAGGGGTGACGACACCAAAAAACAAAAAAAATTTATTATTATTATTATTATTATTTTTTTTTTAGCAAATAGTAATAGTTCGTTTAGGTTTTTAAGCGTGAGAATGATAAAATGAAATTTTTCTTAACCAATTGAAAAGACCAATTAAGACAAATTAATCCTTCTTATTTGTGAATAACAAGAAAATAAAATGAACTTATACGTAGACTTGAAGTTATGATAATAATAATAATAATGGTACGATTTAAAGAGAAAAAAAAAGAAAGTATTATTATTATTATAGAAATTTCTTTTATGATACCCACAAATAATTTTTTACTAAAAATTTTAACAATATTATTTAAAATATATATATTTTAACAAATTTCACTCACCTAAATTTCCAATTAATAAAATTGAGAAAATTTGAAGGAGTAACATAATCACTCACTGAAAATATAAAAAAAAATTATATATTTAAGTAAATATTTATAAAAACATAAAAAAAAAATTTTTTTATAACGTTGCATAAATATAATAATAACGTTATTTTTTTTTATTACCCTAATAAATTAACTTATACTTTATCCATATTATGTCAATAATTATTTAAAAAAAAAAGTTGACCTCAAGATCAAACTCACTATTTTAATATAGAATTAAAAAATCATAAACGATACAACTCTATTATACCACTCATACACATATTTTTATATCAATAATAATAATAATAATTATTATTAACATTATCTTAAATATTTTACTAAAAATTGGTCATGTTGAGGATTTATAGATGAAAATTTATATAAAAAATTTTTCCATAGTCATTTATCATACAATTACTTGAACTTGGTGAATAACTTTACGTAGCTCTTTTGAAAACAGGTAGTTTGTACCTGATAAAATAAATATATTTATATGAAATCATATCATGCGTAACATGTGTGTGTGAGAAAATTAAATCTCATTAGCAAGTTACATTACATCCTTTCATCAACATATTGATGGTTTATAATCATAATGACAGTTATTTACAAATAATTTTATAAACTGACAGTGAGTTAGGTGAAAAATTAGGGTCTCTTTTCCTGATGAAAAGTCAATTCACTACTTTATATATATATATATATATATATATATATAAACAAATAATCTCATCAATAAGATCAACAAACTGACAGTTTAGTCGTGATTAAAATATAAATGTTTGAAAATAGTTTGTGTGTGTGTGTGTGTGTCTTGGTGGAATTTCCGGCAAAATCAAATAAAAACGATTCGTAATGTAATTACATAAATAAAAATTTAAAAAAAAAAAAAAAACTTAACTTACATTTGAAAAGTTCTTGAAGTAGTCGGTAGTAAAAAAAAAAAATTTTTTTTTTTTTTTAATCTAGTGACCAACAGCAAGTCTTAAGTGATTATAAATTATATTTGTCGGTTAAACTATGATGAGCATGCGTGGCACCAGCTGTGTAAAACGTTTTTTTTTTGAAGATTTTCTTTTGTTGATAATAATAGAAGGATAAAAAAGATAAATTGTATGGTTTAAATAAAGAATAGGTCAATTTAAAATTAACAAGAACTTAATCAAAATTGAATTTTAATTTTTTATTTAGGGTTTAAAAGATGGCGGTAGTAAGTGAGTTTAAAACTCTTAAAAACCGGGTATTAAGTTTTTTTTTCAAGTCAATAACGAAATAAATCAATATTATACCTTTATTATCTTTTAAATTATTTTCGAATGAAATCAATAGTCCAGCAAAGTAATTGATTAATCGAATGTTTTAAACAATTCATATTTGATACAAAACTTTTTTTTTCGAATAATTTTAAAAACGATTCAGCAGTGGCAGGAACAGCAAAAAACTTTTCAAAATCTTTTTCAACAATTAAAAAATTTAAAAGGAGACATCTGGTGGGAAAAATTTTAAACAATTTTCGACAATCGCGCGTGTTTTTTTTTTATTACAATTATTTTTTTTTTAATAAATAAATCGATTTAAAATAAGTTTTAGTAATGAATTTTTATAAAATAATCTTTACGATACTTATTATTAATATTATTATAACAGTTTTACGCAAAAAAATTAATAATTTTTGATAGTTTAACTTTTTCAAAGGATGGTAAAATTTTCTGTAATTAGTGGGTAGTAATGCTAATTTTTTTTTTATTTCTAATTTATTAGGCCATTATCATTTTAATTATTCAGTTCCACAATATTTGCCTTTATTGCATAAATAAATTTTTAATTACGATCGAGATAAGGAAGTAATTTTAATATTAAAACTAAATCCGGGCAAAAAAATATTGTGTTAAGACTTTGAAATAATGACACGAAAACGTTCGTCCACAATCTATTTTTAACAAAATGAAATTCTTCTCGTTCGAAAAATGTTAATCATAATAAAATATAATATTTAAAAGGGAGGAATGCGATAATACTTTAATTCAAATTGATGAAAAATAAATTTGTGGAGAATTATATTTCTGGAGCCCGTGAGCTAGCGCGTACGGCAACACCGAGAAATCTAATGCATTTGTTGATTGTTTATTGTGAATATTAATAATGACGCATTTTCGGATGTAAAAATCTTTCAATATAAATTCAAAGGGGTACGTCAACCGTGTCTCCTCTAATCGTTATAAACTAAAGCATTATGTAAACATAATAACCGCAACTTATTAAAAAAAAAAGTCATTACAGATTTTATTTTTTTTAATTTTCGAACGTCACGTAAATTCAATTTAAGTTTAAAAAAAAAAAAAAAAAAAAAAAACGAAAAACCGTAAAATTGAAAAATTTTGCGTTGTTCATTCGTTGTGAATATAAATCATCAAAAGATGTTTACTCGAGACGACCCTATGCATAAACGGCAACGTTGCTTTTCCGCCTGTGCGTTTATTTCTTCAGTTATATTTCAGTCGTCCATACCGGTTGGTCGAGTGCACCTTATTGGTATTCCGGAATAGTTAATTTTTTTTTTTTTTTTAATTGAAACCGCATTGCTCGGCAATTTAAAATAATCATTAATACTTTTTATATATAATTTTCGTAACGAACTTTAAGTGTTTTTTGACAGTTATTATTATTATTTCTTTTAATTTCGAGCAAAAAATTTAAAAAAAATGGATTACAAAAAATATGGAATATTTTGGCTGTTTTTAATCGTTGGAGTTTTTACTGTTCAAGGTAGGATTTTATAAAAATTTCTTTTTTTTTTTTTTCTTTAATGTCAGTTGGAAAAAAAAAAATGGCGTTCCTTTTGATCGTTAAAATTTTTCTCTCTCCTTTTTTTTTAAATTAAATTTTTAATTATAAAGTTTAATGTAACTTATTTTTAAAAAAAAATTCTATTAAATGTTTAACGTTTACGTTCAACGATTGGATTCGAGAATGATTTTAAAAAAAAAAAAAAAAATTTTTTTTTCATAAAATTGAATTTTTAATTAGTGAAAATAAAATGAAAGTTACGTCAGAATACATTATTATTACGTATTAAAAAAAATTTTTTTTTTTAAATGAAAAATTAGTGTAGGATGCCCGGGAGCGAGGGGGGGAGGGGGCCCAACCGTTTATTTTATTGACATAATTTTTTTTTTTAGCAAAGGAATAATAATAATAATAATTTATTTTAAATAATATTTATGTATATAAAAAAAAGATTGATTTCTTTTTTTTTTAATACTCGTGCTAATCTTTATGACATTTTATTAAACAAAAGAAAGATTAAAGTAATAGATTAAGAGTAATGAGGTAAAAGTAAGAGAGAGAGAGAGAGAGAGAGAGAAAAAGATAAAAAAGAAAGATAAATTTTGAAATTTTGTATGTCTGCTCGCAGGTTTTTTTTTTCGTTTAAAATTACTCCTTTTGATTTGTCAAGTAATTTTTTTCTTTTTTTTTTTTTTTCATGGTTAAAGTAATTTTTTTTTTTTTTTTTATGTAGTCATTCATTGTGTCGTTTGCAATGATGATAGTCTTGAATATCTTCTCCACGATGATGATAGTAATAATGAATTTCAAAGAGTAAATATTTTATTTTCTCAAGATTTCAAAACCCCCCCCCCCATATTATTGTTTACATATAAAATTGTGTTATTAATGATTATTATTATTATTACATTCAATGCTTTTGTATGAGTCAATGTTCGTCAATCAATGTGCTCACGCATGGTAAGACGAGGGGTGAGGTGGAGGGGGGGTGTGTGTGTGGGGGGGATATTTGCGATTTGGAGTAGGCATTGTTTGTTCAAAAGC